GTTAAGTAGCTTGATATAATGTTACTGGGTTTCATTAAGTTAAAGTGTTTAGTTGCTCTACAATGCCGCAACTTATTATATCGATATCATATTTCAATACGACCACGTTGATTAACTCATTGTGGAGTCACGATTCTTTGTAGATATCGATATGTATTTATAGCTTCCATCTTTCCAAGTATTTGATACTCCTTTTTATACTTTCTGTTATATTTTGTGAACCTGTGGCTTTCCTAAGAGAAGAAAATGTGTGTGAAGCCCTGCTATTAAGTGGTTCAGTTCAAGAACGAGTTGACGTTCGACTTTTAGCCATAATTTTAGTGGTTTTCTGTATATTTTCCTACGCCCTCAGACAAATTCCTTACAGTCCTTCTCTTACAATAGAAAGGCAACGTTTGATAGGTCATGGGATCAACTGCCGAAAATGCGTGGAGTGGTGTTCTTTTGCAATTACCCCTCCTCCACCGACCGATCACGTAAAGTTGAATGCGTAAAGTTGAATTTGGAAAATTTTCTCATGATGAAAGCCCAGCAAAATTGTCTGGTAGCACTTTCTTCGAGTGATTTGCAGTCATGGTTATGTTTGATTCTCACATCTTGTTCGTAAAATTCACGGGAATAATCCACTAAACAAAAATCTATTCGAAATTTTCTCGGTAGAATGACTATCTCAGATCTGTTGTGGTTTTTATGGTCGTTCTCACAAGGTGTTGCTCATTATCTTTCATGAATTTAATTTTCTCTAACTAATGTTGTCAAGCTTGTCAACGATGATCAAAGTTTTTGGGTTCATTTCTTAAGTTGGCGTCAGCTTTATAAGTGTAGTGTTTAGCGCTACGAGCCGAAAGTATATTATCGTGCTGAAACGTCCACGAAAGAAAGGCCTAATCTTGTCCCATCACACTTTCCCGACAGGATTGTAGGATGCATGTGTAAGTTTGTTATGCTACTTTTATAATACTCGGGAGAAAGTTTGAAGACTTGAAATACTTGAAATGATTAAAACCTATGGAATCTTCGGATTCTTCAATTGTGAATGATGGTTTTTCTGTTTTCACCAACGATTTACTACAATCACTGAATTTAGTGTACCGCATTTATGATCCACTTCATTTATGGTGCGAAATTTCAGAAAAATTGGATTTCGTTGGCAATTAAGATAAAAACAAGTTAGCTGTTCCGGTATGAGCTAATTTGTCTATTTTTAAGGCGAACCTGATTCTGGACACGTAAATTTCATGGTTATTCGCAAAGGAGTGCCAAAG